GCATTTACAAAGCTTAAAATACTTGGGAGCACTACTAAGCTTCTGCTTGTCTTACTATGTTCGTGAAAATAGAAAGCAGCATTTTCCCTAAGGCTTAATTGAAGATGTTAGATTTAAGCATCTATCTCTAGATACCATTATTAGCAGAATACTACCCTACCAATGTATGTTAATTTGTCATAGTGTTTTGAAATACTCGGGGTTTTTTAATTTCATTTTCTTACATGACAGTGTTGTGTTTCCAGGATACATCCATAATCAATATGGCAAACAAAATCAAAACCCCTTCTTGTATATACTCAAGTGCTATTCATATAATACCTTTGTATCAAATGTACAGTGAAAGTATATGCAAAACTATTTTCTCAGTATTAACATGTCACCCCCTGAAGTTGTTCTATTCAGGTTTAAGTCATCTAAGCTGAAACCACCTCACTCTGCAACTGGAATAACAATAAAGAGTAAGGTTTAATTTTGTAAAGCGTTTCAGAATTAAATAATTTCAGGGTGTTTGTGTCACCTTCTATAGAGAGGGAGAGCATAAGAAAATATAAAAATTTCATATTTCATAGATCAAGAGAGAGAACCATAGGAAGACAAATTTTGGAACAATTATCTCTGGTAAATATCTAATTTTTATCAAACTGCCTCATAATGCATTATGACTTTCTCTCCAAGTAGCAGTCCAAGACAAACATATAAATGTGAATGCTAGAAACATTTAATGGCATTTAAAAGTATAGCATACATATAAATGAACACAGATAACTCACCTGTAGTATGGACATCACAATACTTTGGCTATAACTTGACAAAAATCACGTACACCAAATAACTCTCTTCCGTTAAAGTAGGAAGATTTACCACAATTTTTGATCTGTAACTTGATTTACAAAAATTTGCATCTTACCTACAAAAGCATGCTTGAACATGTACATTGAGAAAATGCTTCAAAAGCCTTTGATCTTTTAATTAAATTACAGGGATAGCACTCATTAAAATCAAACCACTTTCAGTGTTGCCATAAACTGGAAACTATCCCATTTTAAGGGACTACTCTGACAAAGCTTGAGCACTGGGTATGCAACCTAACAGAGATTAGCAAAAAAAAAAATCAATAATCACAACCAATTCTTGCTTGAGACTTCCCATGAAAAGCATTGAAAGTATTTTTTAAAGTGTCAATGCACAGCACAGGTGGATTCATCTCTCATCTAAAAAGTAGGTGTTTAGTCAAATGGGATGAATCAACTCATCTTTGACTATTAAGAGAGCTTACAGTATTAGCTTAGTTGAAGTGTCTATCTTTTAAATGAATCAATTTGAGCTGATTTCTTCTTAATATCTGCAGTAAAAAAAAGACTAAACTCGCAGAATGATTGAGAAGGTGTGGATGCAGAATTTGTGCCTAGGAATAAATAAATTTATGTTTTCTTTCTCCAGTGTTTTTTAGTACTTTCAGAGAGTTGAGTGGTTGTTTTGAGAAGCTGATGAATCACGGGCCTCTGAACGTGTCAGATCAGACAGGTCTGTTCATCCTCAGGGAGAGCCATGTGGCAAGAACACATGGGTTTGTGATTAGACATGCAATGTGAGATCCTGGAATCTTTTACTTAGGAAAGGTGTGAATTGGCATACCGTTGTACCTATCCCAGTGGTGAGATGAATGCCTGAGCAGGCACAGAAATTTACAAGATTATGGGAAAAAGTGTAAATGTTTAGGAAGGAGCAATGTGTAGCTAAAAGGGATCAGTTGTCACCTACCTCCAATTTGCCAGTCAAAGAAAGGCAGGGTGTGCCCTAGCAGCATGAAGTTTAACACACCAAAGTTCCTTCTTACTGAAGTTGTAGGTCTTGTCCTGCCTAACCCTTTGTTGTCCTAAGAATCCAAGGTAGCCTGTTTAAAGCCAGCTCAGACTGTGGCGTCAGATGGGCCACTCCTTCTTAAGGCATCTGATGAGATCCAACACAGTTTACCACATTGCCACAGGAGTCCTGGGGCTTGCACAAGGGTAGGCACAGCTGGAGAAGCTGCTTAAGCTAACACTGCTATCGTAGTCAAAAACGTACCAGTACTGTGTCACTCTCACAACAGTAAGTGGCCTTCATCTGAAGAAACTCATACAGCAACGGGCAGAAAAAACTCCATGCTTAGCTACATATGGCCCTTAAGACAGACGCCACTCCTGTTTGAGCTATTGGGTTTAAAAGTCAGCTTAACCATGTATAATGAAATCTCCCAATAAATTAAAGAATAACACAAACGTCTTAAAAATAGTAGCCAGGAGAAAACCATCACTAGATAATACAGCCAGATGTGTAGTCATCTACAGCTGAGGCTGACAGATGATATCTGCAGAACAGGCCACTGTAATCCAGAAAGCAGAAACTTTGAAAGCATTGAAGAGAGCAGATGAGCATCTGGGTGTGGGCCACCACTGCCCTGTGCAAAAAGATCCTAGGTAATAGGTGGCTCATGAGCTATTTGTGGCTGCTGAGTACTTCACTGAGGAAATGATACTGGACTACTGCCTTTAAGTTCTACCTTGATACTCTCTTAAGAGTGCAAAACTGTCATTGCATTGGGTTTATGTGGCAAAGTTTTGGTAATGGGGGGACTGCAGGGGTGGCTTCTGTGAGAAGACATCAGAAGCTCCCCTATGTTGGAAGGAGCAAGTTCCAACCAGCTCCAAGATGAACCTGCCGCTAGCCAAAGCTGAGCCAACATATTTAAGAAAGGGCAAAAACTGCCGCGCAACAGCAGCCAGGAGAGAAGATTGCAAATAGATGAGAGAAACAACCCTGCAGCCACCAAGGTCAGTGAAGAAGGAGGAGGAGGAGGTGCTCTGGGTGCCAGAGCAGATATTTCCCTGCAGCCTGTGGTGAAGACCACGGCGAGGCAGGCTGTGCCCCTGCAGCCCATGGAGGTCCATGGTGGAGCAGATCTCCACCTGCAGCCCGGGGAGGACCCCACGCCGGAGCAGGTGGATGTGCCCAAAGGAGGCTGTGACCCCGTGGGAAGCCCACGCTGGAGCAGGCTCCTGGCAGGACCTGTGGCCCCGTGGAGAGAGGAGCCCAGGCTGGAGCAGGTTTGCTGGCAGGACTCGTGACCCTGTGGGGGACCCACGCTGGAGCAGCCTGTTCCTGAAGGACTACATCCCATGGAATGGACCCACACTGGAGCAGTTTGTGAAGAACTGCAACCTGTGGGAAGGACTCATGTTGGAGAGGTCCATGGAGGACTGTCTCTTGTGGGAGGGATCACACGGTGGAGGAGGGGAAGAATGTGAGGAATCTTTCCCCTGACAAAGGAGTGACAGAGGCAAGGTGTGATGAAGTCATGACAACCTCCATTCCCCATCCCCCCTGAGCCGCCCAGGGGGAGGAGGGATCGAAAATCAGGTGTGAAGTTAAGCCTGGGAAAAAGGGAGGGGTGGAGGGAAGGTGGTTTTAAGATTTGGGGTTTATTTCTCACTATTCTACTCTTATTAATTGGCAAGAAATTTTAATTTCCCTAAGATGAGTCTATTTTGCTGATGACGGTACTTTGTGAGTGATCTCCCTGTCCTTATCTCGATCCATGAGCTTTTCATCATTATTTTCTCCCTGTCCTACTGATGAAGTGGGAGCGATAGAGCGGCTTGGTGGGCATGTGGCAGCCACCCAGGGCCAACCCACCACCTTGATAGGAGGCAAAAAAAGAACCACAAATTATTCAGTTAATATACATAAAATATTAAAAATCTGAAGAATGTCTTGCATTGGGAGATGTAGAAAGTTCAATCTGTCCAATTTATAAAAAATACATGGTAATAATTACAACATGCAATGGATATAAATTTTCCTTTGGGGAAGGAAATACCAGGTAATAAAATTAATTTTACTTTTTAATTTATGAGAAAGAACAGGAGCAGATGACTGGAATCTGAAACTACAAATGAACCATTACCCTCCTAATATGCAAGGCAAGGCGTTCATCAGCCTACCGAGGCAGGCTTGCGCATTCACTATCTTTTGCCATCGTCACCATGTGTTTAGGCAGCTTCATAAAAACTGTTATTTAGCCTGGCCGCATAGGCGGGAAGCTCAGAGGCCTGCTGCTGCTCCTCAGTCTGGCTGGGTAATGCCAAGGTGCCTGCTGTACCCTGTCAAACTGATTAACGACACGACACACTCTTTGTCACCTTTCCCCAAGTACTGAGGGGGAAACACATGCGGTGCCCGCACTGAGCGGCTGGAGGAACCAGCCTGAGCAGGGGTTCTCCTTCTCCTTCTCCTTCTCCTACTCCTTCTCCTACTCCTACTCCTTCTCCTACTCCTTCTCCTACTCCTTCTCCTACTCCTTCTCCTACTCCTACTCCTACTCCTACTCCTACTCCTACTCCTACTCCTACTCCTTCTCCTTCTCCTCCTCCCACCAGCCCCACGCTGTTGACGCCCCGCCCGCCCCTAAGGGAGGCCGAGCCACGCCCCGCCCCCGCGTGCCTCTCCGCACGTCACCGCCCCGCCCCCGCCAGCCGCCGGCTCGCGCGCAGGCGCAACAGCCACCGCCACCACCCCGGCGGGGACTTTGCCCCGCCCCACGCCCGGAGAGGCGGAGCGTCTCTCAGCTGTTTCCGGCGTGGCCGGACGGCGGCGCAGGCGCAGTAGCGCTGCTCCGCGCTGCCGGCGTTGCCCCCCCCCCCCCCACCTCCCGCCACTGCCGCTGCCGCCCTCCTGCCCGCTCCGCCGCGGCGGCACCGCGCGGGTCGCGGCCGCCCCGCTCCTGAGGGCGGCCGGCCCGGCCTTGGGAGCCGGAGGAGCCGGAGGAGCCGGGCGCCGCTGCCCTGCAGGTACCCGCTGCCGGGGTGGGCCGCGTTACACTGGGAGGGGGGTGTGCGGGGAGGGGAGGTGGTGAGCGCGTGCCAGGCACGCGGGACTGGCGCGCGTGACGCGGGGTGGGTGGGTGGGTGGATGCGGTCGCGTGACGTGGAGCCGCCGCCGCCTGGCAGGGCCGGGGGCAGAGGGGAACAGGTGGTACAGGCCGGGCCGGGCCTCGCCGCTTGTTTACGCGGCCGCTCTCGAAATCGTTTCTGCGAAATGGCGCAAGGCCGGAACAGACCCCGCTCCCCCACTCGCCCCCCCCCCCCCCCCCCACCCCGGGGGCTCGCCTATATACCGGCCCGGAGCCCCCCGCCGCCCAGCGGGAGTCGGGGCGCAGGTTCGAGCATCCGCTGAGGGACCCGTAAGTAACGACACCGGTGCCTGCGGCGGCGTTGCCTCCGCTGTCGCTGCGGCGTCGGCCCGCGCAGGTGTCAGCCTGCCCGCCTGGCCTGGCCTCCTTCGGCACTTGGCACAGCAGCCGGGGGGGGGGTCTGAGCGACCCATTTAACCAGATAATGGAACCGCTCCCGCGGTCGCAGCACAGCTCCTTGTATGTTGTATCAAACTGTGATCTACCCCAGAAACATCTTTGTTTGCGGAATAAGGATTATATACTGCCCTTCAGCTTTTAGGGTAGCAACGTTTCAGTGAGCTTGTGGCTTTATAGAGAAGCTTTGCTCAAAGAATTGGTGGCCTTTCTCCTCTGGGAGGAGTTCTGCAGGGGGATGGTAATGTAATGATAGTTTAATTTGAAATTCAGTCTCTACTAGATAGTCTGCTAAAGAGATACAATGTTCTCTTATTTGGCAAGCAGTTTTCTATGTGTCATTAAATGCTTTGGACAAGTGTCACATATTGCTCAAGGTAGACTTAAACTGGCCTTTAAGGAATAATATGTTGAAATGAAAATGTTGGGATGGATGACACCACCAAATGTGCTGAGCAGTAAATATCCCTATGAGATTATTTGATTTGAGTGTTCATCTGTCTTCACTGGGAGAATAAATAAGCTGCATCTGCTTTAGGCATCTCTGTGATTTTAGTTTAACTTGTTACTGGTTTGGCGTTTCCAATGTTGTGTTTTTTCTTTTTCAGATAGCACCGTGGTACAAGACTTATTTATTGAAATATTTTCTGCAATGAAGTAGGCAAGCAACATAGAAAAGGTGTAATTATTTATAAGTAATGACAGTTCATTTATCTTTAGACGCATATTTGTTCTTTGTGATTAACCCAAAAAGTCTTTGGTGGAAGCAAAGAAACAAATACCTGTATTTGTATAGACCTAAAGTTTGCTGGAGGATAAATCATGCCGTTCACCCGAGAGTTTTTCATACAAGTGAGCCTCGGTGTAAATGGGCCAGAAGCAGAACATTTTGGTATAATAAATACATTTACAGCCATGACTTTTTATACTACAGAGTTTCTAAACTATTAACTTCTTCTTCCAAAGGACTTACAAAAGTGAGCAATCGCATGTCACGAATTAGGAATACTCTAGAATCTGTTTCAAAGGCAGTGTCTGGCACTCACAGTGAACTGGTTTCACGGATAGCTCAATTAAAGTCACACTCAGGTACTCTGGGAAAAGCAAATAAAAGTAATGCAGATGCAAGTAACACCAATGCAAATCTAGAAAATGATAAACAAGTCACAGATGCCAGAACTTGGGAGGATTGCGACAGAGGCCCAGCTGCAAAGAAATCCACGTGTGCAAATAAGAACTTGGACTCTATGTTGGTAAGCTCAAGTGGCACTTATCAAGATTCTCCAGAAGATTCAGCGTCTACTGAAAACTACCTTTTTCATGTAAGCTACTTTTCTACAAATTTTGGAGAGACTTACAACTTCATAGCTGATCATATCAACTGGTACTTTAATAATAAGTCTGTTATGGATCAAGAGAAAAAAAGGAATGCTTTATTACAGGACTCTAAAAGTGAAGAGAGAGATAAGCTTGATTCATCAGAAGATACTGTAATGAGTGAAGAAAAGACAGCGGATTCAGCAGCTGCTCTAGCTCATGAAGCAGAGAATCTGGGTGCTGAAAAGACAAATACTGCTCTTCCTATTTCCACTAAAAAAAGCATTGCAAACTTTCTTTCATCTCCCAGTAACAGTGTACAAGCTTTTGTAGACAGTTACATTGGTGGGTTGGTTCCCAAGTTAAGATCCGATACAAAAGTTGTTTCACAAGAAAAGAGTAAAGAGCCAGAAGTGCTTGAGAAGGATGAAGAGGACAAAGTGAAAGAGGCTAAGACCACAGAAGAGCGGGAAAAGCATTTGTCTCTTCAGAGAGAAAAGGTAAGTCTTTGTGTAGTGCTACCTCTCTATATTATTTCTGCGTGTATATATGTGTGTATGTACCTACAAGTAAACTTACATATGCATATATATGCACATACTTACATGAATAACTATATACCTATGTGTGTATTTACATACATATAAGTACATATATGTACACATACATTTACATATGTACATACATATAAGTATATACTTATATGCACATATATAGAAACTATGTACATATATAGTTTATGTACTTTAAGTATATATACATACATATACACTTGTAAGTGCATATATGTACTTACATACATACACTTACACATATATAAGTATATATTATACATGTATAAGTGTATATTTATATATGTGTCTATATAAGTATGTATATGCATATGTGACGTGTGTAAATGTATATAAGTATGTATATACATACTTATATAAGTATATATTATATACATAAGTATATATGCATACGTATATATACTTCTTGTAATATGTAAATATAAGTTTATGTATAAAGTATATATATGTATATACACATATGTGTGTGTGTAGTATATACATATATTTAGTTCACATACATGTGGAAAGAGTACATAAATATAGAGAGATCCAGTTGCTTTGTTTTGGTTGTAGTTATAGTAACCTTATGGTCCAAATACTGTCATTTCAGAGTTGCTCTGAAAATACATGAGTACATGCTGATACGTGTTTGTTCGGTGTGTTATTGCTGCGAGCTGCCTTTATGTATTTTTCTAGTAAACAAAGAATAAAAAAGTTGCCTGTTTACGTTTAAGCAATGCTTACTTGGAGCCTGTAGCAGATCTCTGTTACAACATGCTGTTCATTACTTCTGAGAAATCTTAAAATAAGTTTGGAATAGTCTTGATAAGTCTTACACATTTCTTACAGTAATTTTTATGTTATTTGTATAACTCTGTCTTTTTTTAGATTATTGCAAGAGTAAGTATTGATAACAGGACTCGAGCTTTAGTGCAAGCCCTGCGAAGATCCTCTAATCGAAGAGTCTGTATCAGCAGGGTTGAAGAGCTGACCTATCATCTTCTAGAATTTCCAGAGAGCAGAGGAGTTGCAATTAAGGTGCAGTCTTTATGCTTAGACAAAAAATAACTGACAGATATTTGACACGGAATAGCATAAAAGTTTCTTCTGTGCTTTTGTGGGCCAGTCATATTTTCTATTTGTAAAGATTACAATGTGAATGTTTCTTTTTATAGCTATTTTTTTAGCTGGTTCAAGCAAATTCATACGCCAAACGATCAGTAGTTTAGCTAAAGGCTCTTAAGATTGCAGTGTTTAATTTAGAAGCCCACAGCATTGTCATGTGGATAGATAGTATAGCTTGTTCTAGTGGTAGACAAAGGTCGTACACTGTGTCCTCTGTCGCAATCGACCAGTTGGGAGTGTACGGTACAGTTGATCTGCATGTGCACAACAGTTTTTATGCTTGTTTGCATGCTTCCTTCGAGGAGAGATGACGAGTGGAGTATAACCATCAAATAAGTTCATGTAATTAGTCTTATTCTCTTTCCTGCAGTGAGGGGACAGGAGGTGGGTGGTAGACTATTCTAGCATTACTAGCCAAATCACAGCATTTTTAGTCTTGTGCCTTTTTCCATAAGATGTGACAGAGGTGTGACGTAGATTGTAGGATTTCTGGAAAAGAGATCTTTGGGAATGGAGTGCAGGCCAGATGAATCATCCGGGCGGGGTACAAGTCAGGCATCCACATAAATAGATGTGAATTACTTTATTATGAAAGGGTACACTCACTATTCTCATCTTGATTATAATACTCTGTATATTTGTGATAATAATTGTACATTTTAAAATTATTCAGTGTGAGGAAGAATCTGAATTTTTGTTTTGTTTTAATATTAGTGTACGTGGAAGACATTTCCTGTTTTGAAGCAGTGTGATACTTATTCTGCAAAATGTGGGCTTTTAGCTGTACTTGGTGTGCTCCATACTTGAGTTTATATTTGGCCAATGAGATAGTAAAAGTCAGTAAAACCAAACTGCTGGTAAACACAGCTTTTCTAGCTATTTGTAAGTTTTACGTTTCACCTTGATTGTTTAATTCTGATAGGTAGCTACTTTAGCAAGATGTGTACAATATAATATTGGAGTCCGTCCTTTCCCTTGTTAGAGAGAGAGAGATGGGTGAATACAGATTTAAGGAAGTTTTCCTCTGAGTTTAACTAATATATTACTTGTATACTTAAATGCCAGACCAGTAAATTTAAGCATGGATTATTTTGGTATAAACATATATCTAGAATTAAGTATCTTTGTATTTATCAATAGGAAAAATTAATCCCGTGCCTATTGCGACTGAGACAGGCAAATGACGAAAGTCTTCAGGCTGCCGTTAGAGAGACTTTAGCTATAATTGGATATACAGACCCTGTGAAAGGCTGGGGAATTCGAGTCCTTGCTATTGATGGAGGAGGAACAAGGTAAAACCTCTGGTTTATTTATATACTTGTAGCCTTTTCCATACTGTAACTCAAAATTTTTGTTTCTCTTTGATAAGCTTATGCCCAAAGATGCAATTTATGATTTACAGTTGTGTTACATTTGACTGTCCAAGTGATGGGTATTATTTTTGTATGCATTTGTGCTTAAATTTCTATGCATTTATAGTCCTATGACACTGAAATTACCCATTTAAAGTTGGTTACACACTTAAGCGCTTGGATTGTCTCATTCGCCTTTTGGAAGTAAATTAAATGGTTAGTTGAGTTAATGTGCTCACAAGTTTAATCTCAGAAATACAAAATTATTGTGAAATGCTAGAAATAGTTTATACTGTTACGATTGTGTTGTCTTGTACTTCTATGGAGGGTGACCTGCCTTAGCAGGACTAGTCTCATATGAAAGAATGAATAGGCTAGTGGTGAAAGCTATCCATGCTGTTGATTTTTATTTCTTATACAACTAATGCTTTTTTTTTTATTTAATTTGTGCACCACATGTCCTTAATTACACGTCCTCTAGTTCTACGTGAATTTATGCACCTACCATAATTTGTAAAGAGTAGTAGCAAAAGCCTATTCATTAAATTTGAAGTCTGATGTTTACTAAAAGCTGTGTTTTCAGACATATTTGAAGAAATCTTGTTGGTAAATATTTACTGATTTACAAATCTTTATTGGTAGAAAGTCAAGTATGAAGTCATTGCAGGAATACAGTTTCACAAACTTGTTGTTTCCCCATAGTATTTCTTTACTTGCATCAAAGTACGTTGCCTTCAATGAGTAAGTGTATGTTACAACTTCAACGTTTGTATTTCCAAAAGTTCATGGTAAACCATAAAGATTTTACAAAGTAGAAAGGAGGATGTTTCACAGATGATGGCATGATGCCTGTATGTATAAATAAAGTGTGTTAATTTTTCTTGTTAGATTTCTAGGGGAATAACATCATAAGACACCTTACCTTTAGAAAGCAGTATCTCTATCTATGACACTAAATGAAGCAAGTCCAGAGAGTAAGCCTGCGTACTGACTACTGGCTGCTGTGCCACTTAATTGGTGGTGTTCAGCTGGTTATAGTTTTGGCCTGGGTTGGCAACTCCTCTTCGCACAAGCTGGGACAGATTTGGATGCACCATGCGGGTGGTGCCGTGCTCAGCAGAATGTGTTGGCAAGATGGTTTGGTGCTTCTTTTGTCACATGCAGTTCTCTAGCTCTAGCCCAGCAGAGTCACTGCCTCTGCGTGCCGGATACTGTGTTTCATGCTATAGAAGCCTAAGTTTGGTGATGTGGAATGCATCTCTCCCATTACTTCAGGCACATTGAATTGAGGCAAAAAAAAAAAAAAAAACACAGACAAAAAACTACTGTGCCCCAAGGGGCATTATATAGCCATGTTAAACCCAAACTTTAAGTGCTGAGTGGTATAGATGCAGCTAAAATCTGTCCTGAGTCTACAGCCACAGAAGATGATCGTCCCTGAGCCTTTCCTACAAAACAACAGTATGGCTGCAGCTGTTGAGTACTATTTTTGATATACCTGAGTATGTCAGTTATATTTAGTATTGATCATTCCATTTTTGTATTCTGCTATTCTTTCATTCCTTGAAGTATTCAGGATTCTTACTGTTGTAGTTACGTGATTATAATTAGTTATAATTAAGCAAAGATGGGCTTAATTAGAGCTATGTAAGATAAGACTGCCATTGTATGTAAAGGGAATTCTTGTGTTTCAGGGGTTTAGTTGCACTTCAGACTTTACGGAAACTGGAAGAACTAACTGGAAAGCCTGTTCATCAACTTTTTGACTACATATGTGGTGTAAGCACAGGTAATTGTTAAAACATAAGTTGGAATTTTGCTATCAATATAGTAAACAAAGTCTGAGAATAAATGTAGATTTTGTAGAACTTGCTGTTTTTTTACTTTGAGTATAATCTGGGAAAGTACAGGTATGATTTCTAAAGTCTTTTTTCTTCTGAGTAAGAACTTTGGGTGATTCATGATATGCTTTTAACTTAAAACTAATTTGTCATTTTTTCAGTGAATGTGAAACCTTCATTTTGCACCCAGATACAAATCTCTTAGACTTTTATGGGGCATTACAGAAAACTAAGGTAACATCCTTCAGGGACTGATACTGGGCCAGTAAGTTTTTCTGTCTTTATTAATGACCTGCACAGTGTGACAGAGTGTGCCTGCAGCAAGGTCTTGGATGATCTAAATTAGAGGAAGTGGTCAGTACAGAGGTGCCCTCTGTTTGGATTGGCCTGTACAGGCTGGAGAAATGGCTTGACAGGAACCACCTAAGGTTGAATAAAGCCACATACAAAGCCCTTCATCTGAGGTGGGCTGACTGGCTAGAAACCAGCTGTGCAGAAAAAGACGTGGTCTTGTTGAACATGAATCATCAGTGTACCCCTGCAGCAAAGCAAGCTGACCGCATACTGGCTTGTATGCACAAGAACATACCCAACAGATTACGGGCCTCTGTTTGGCCAGTTTTTGTCTAGTTTCAAACTCCTCAGTAAACCCTTAATCTGTTGGATATGTTTTCATATATGCTGAGTGCATCTGGCACAGGGCCAAGAGATGTTCAGGGGACTGGAGCTCATGACATATATAGGGAGAGAGTGCAAAAACTGGGTTTATTCAGCCTGGAGAAGGTTAAGGAGAAGCCTTATTGCTGTTTCAAGTAATGGGAAAATACAGAGAAGATGGAGCTAGACTCTTCCTGAGTGTGCATTATGATAGGAGAAAAGCCAACAGAGAAGTTGGAATACAGGAAGTTACAATTGGGTATAAGGAATCATGTTTTCCTTGCAATGATGGTCAGACAGTGGAAAGGAGTTGCCTGAACAGGCTGTGGAATCTCCATCCCTGGAGATACTCAACTCAACCAAACAGGTCCTGAGTAACTTGTTCTAATTGAACCTGTTTTAACTAGAGGTTGGACTAGATGACCTCTAGAGGTTCCTCCCAGCCTTAATTACTCTTGTGACTCAATGATGTTACTCCTCCCTAGGAAGCAGGAAACACTAAAGCGTAAGTTTCTTTTAGAAAGACAGTCATCTCTTTCAGAAATGATGCTAGAGCAGTAGCAGCATAATGCTGATTTCTGACATAAGAGATACGTTGTAGTTCAGTTTCCTTTAGACACGCACATTCTTCAATTTTTTTTTTGCACTATACTTCTATTCCATACGGTTTAATTCAGAAATAACATTAAATGCAGATCACCATGAGTAGGTATAATGTTCATGTTTCCAGAGATCTGCTTAATAGGCTCAAAATAGTAGAGAAGAGGAGAATGTTTAGGTCTACCAGAAAGAATTTGTTTGTGGGCACAATATAGTTCCCTGCTTTACATTTTTAATAGTCTTTGAAAAGAATCCTTTGTTAGTTAATTTAGAAGTGGTTGTTTCTTTGGAAGATAGTTTCACTACAAAACACTTCTCTAATGTCTCTGTCAGCCTTAATAAAGGTATTTTATCTTTGATTGAAAGGCCTGGTGTTCTTAATTCGATCCCACTACTCTGATTAGAACTAACTTTATTCTTCACCAGATTTTGTAACTGGTAGTAAGTACTTAACCTGCTCTTTTAAGCTTTGTTTATGCTATCGAGCTGTTGTCTGCAGTAGTCCAGCTTGCAATAAAGGGTAACAAGACATGGCTGGGAGAGGTTATACATACCTGTCAGTGTGTGCTAGCAGTGTGCTTTACCATTTCAGTTTGTGTTCAGTTTGCAGAAGCTGGACTGATGCATCAAATGATAGGAAGAATGCCTCTTGTCCATTACGATTCTCTTTTTTTTTTCTTTTTTTTTTTTTTTTTCCCTGATATGCTTTTCATATCTCTTGTTTAGCTGTTTTGCCTTTGAGGTTTAGCAATAATCAGTTTGCTGTGAATTCAGAATCACAGAGTCTGTCTTTGTAGTTAGCTTCCCTGTACTTCTCTTCACTGGTCCTCATAGGGTGTAAATGTAGGCAGTCACAGAGAAAGATCACTATAATGATGCTGTAATGAGCTCAGCATACTTGGGTCACTTGCCAGTTGCTGAGCACAATACCTGGGCATGGAAGCACCAGAAGATCTGCAAGCACATACAATACAGTGATGGCCATTGAACTTTTTTTATGGGGAACCAAGTTAATGTAAGTTCTGTATTGGGTTTGTGCCTGTTCTGTGCAAAAATCCAAAGATGAAAACAAGGCAGTTGAGAGGAGGAGGTGCCATTGCCCCATGAACTGAGCTGCTGGGAGTTCTGTAAGTGAGGGTGATTGTCACTTCTCTAGAGTATGACATGCTTTCATATATGCCCAGAGCACTTAACCCACTGTGGACAACTTCTCTGCAGATATGCTGTGGATGTGGCTTGTAAGTTCTTTTCACTGCTCATGTCATCTCCCAGTACATCAAAGGTACTTTTCAATAGTGGTGCACTTACAATTCAGTCACAGGGAGCAGTTTATAACATCAAGAGTATGTGATCAGCAAAGTGCATACTACCACATTTTCAAATATGCTGGCCTGCTCCAAGAATTTTAAAAATACATTTTTTTCTCAAATTTCTGTACTGAGCTAGTAATTAGTGACATTCAGATGCATCGTATGAGGGATTTGATCATTGACATACTGTGATCAAACGTGCTCTAAGCATACTGTTTTCCAGTGCAATGTACTACAAAGACATCTGAATTGTACAGGTCTCTTTGATCATATAGTTTTGGATGTATGTGAAGTTTGCATAAGGACTTCACATAAGGATATTCTCCCAAAATATTCATCCCAGTTTGTTAAGAACAGCATAGAGCTAGTGCTTTCAGTAATGTGCAGATGAGGAGCCTCCTTAAACAAAGCTGGCATCTCCTCCTGTTGATTTTTTTTGCTTATGATGTCTTTCCAGTTTTGAAATGCATTTTGAAAATCTTTCTGATGGAAGAAGTATTTTTTTCAGGAGGACTCATGAATAAGTCAAGTCATTGTATTGTAGAGCTGGAAGCATCCTTAGGAGGTTATCTCATTTCCCAACAGAAGGAGCAGCTGTGTGTATTCCACTATTGACAATTTTCTAAGATTTTGAATCATGTCAGACCTTTTCAGAAAAATCTGTGCTAGTGCTTTGCTCTCTTTCCATTTGGTGAAAAAATCCAGATGTTTAATGTGGATCTTCCTGTTGCAGTTCAAATTTGTTTCCCCTTGTCCTGACTCCCCATGAACATAGATAACACATTCTTTCTGTTCTCTTTGCAGCAGCCTTCTGTGCGTTTAAAGGCTTTTGTCATAGCCTTTACAGACTGATTTCCTTGACCTGTGATTGTTTTGGGAGGATGTTTTTGTGTGATTTTTCTTTTTCTCAATTGGTCCATGTCTTTTTTGAAGAATGTCATTCAGGTTGAGGTATAGCACTTCAGCTGAAGTCTGACTAGTACTGATAAAGAAGGGAATACTTTTGTCTTTCAGGTTATATTCTTGCCTATCTTGTGTCTTAGTAGACAGCTGTATCCCTGTGTTCTTCAAGATATGCTACTTTGACTCCCAGAGTTTGTTTAGGTATTTTTTCCTCCTGAAGTGTTGGCTGTCGAGGCTGAGATGGTGTCTGGAGTGTAGAGGTCTGTGATACAGAGCAGGAGGTGATAGAAGCATCAGAAACTATTTTCACTGGACTGTCTGATAGAGCCTGCACTATATATTTGATTTGGGCCTTACTCTCCTGCGAGTGTCTTGTTACCATTCAGCAGGTTTCAGCCAAGCCCTTTAGTGTGTACCTTGACTCTGATATTATCTACTGCCACTTGTGTGTCGATGCAGACTGTGGTTTTTGGTGTTCTTTCTTAGGAGGTGAAGTGAAAATGAGTGTGCATTTGGTATGAATTTTGGCTCTTCATCTTTGAAACTGTTCACCAAAATAGCAAATGCATGGTATTGTAGAATTGGTGCTGGAGAGTTAAGAAGAAAAGAAGGTAGCAAAGGATTTGCATGACTCAGGAAAATGGCATTTCTCTGCTGCTGGATTTTTGGTCTGTGCTGAAAACAGGTGTTTGGTGATTTGATGGTTGAGTAAATTTCTCTTGATGAAACCTTGATGTGTCAAGTAGGCCCAGGTTATACTAAGCATGTGTGCTGCATTTTAAAAAATTTGAGACCATCAATCCACTGACACTAAGCTATCATGGTGGGGTTTGTGAGACTGAGGGAAGCTTGGAAGTCATGTTTCCTTTAAAGCCATCTGTAACTTTCTTTATGTATTTCTTCCTGCATATGTGTTTTATTCTTACTATGTTTCAAGAATTTACTGCTTTTCAAATTAATCTTATTCAAACCTATTGCATTCATTTCCAAATTGGGAAAAATCAATGTGTCGTAATTATTCCTAATACTTAATTACATGTCCTCATAGTATTGCACAATTAGATATAAAGGTTGTATATGTCCCTTTCAGTTTAATATATCTAAGAATTGTAGTGATACATCAATCATATTTTTCCACAGTCTTTTGAATGGTATTCTGCAACCATGCTTTTTGGATACTGTTGTTTTGTTCCTACAAGGATAGGTCATAATTTTTTTAGGCACACACTAGATGGCAGCATGTATGAGTGACTAATTGTAAATGGTTGCAACCAAATTTATTCCGAAGTAGTCAGAACTCTCTTCTTTTTACAGAATTTTCCTAGAATCTTCCTTTACCGACTCACTTAACCAGATAGCAAGTAATGCTCCAAATACATTTTTAAATAGATTTGTCTTATTCATTTCTCTTTTCAGATAAAGCAGTGGATTTAATTTGCTTTCTGCCATATCCTTGTTTGCAGGGATTAAATCTGCAAAAAGTGAAATAATGTCATTTTTCAATTTAGTTCTGGTTTTGAAAGTAGACTCTTTCTATCTTCTATATGTCCTTTTAAAACGTAGCTTGTGATCTCTGAACAGGAATTTAGTGATATAAATGTCAGTTAATCTTCCCTTTTCAAGACAGATATTTTGCTAACCTATGAACTACACTAAATGGTAATCCATCTTGATAATTTTACTCCAGGCTATAATTTACATTTCAAAATATTTCTTTTTCAGGAGCTATATTAGCTTTTATGTTGGGTTTGTTCCATATCCCTCTGGATGATTGTGAAGAACTGTATCGCAAATTAGGATCAGATGTTTTTAAGCAGAATGTCATTGTTGGAACAGTCAAAATGGGTTGGAGCCATGCCTTTTATGATAGTGATATATGGGAAAAACTGCTCAAGTAAGTAAAAAATGATCAGGTGAAAAATAATTAGCATAATGTGTGAGAGCCTTCAGCTTTGTTAATGTTTCACTGTTAAGAAAATTCTTAAAACAACTAGAAAGGATTAGCATATACTCTTATCTTTTGAAATAGCTGTTTTCATGTTTACCAAAACATTTAAAGCCTTTAATGTAATGATTTCTGTTTCTGGAGAATAAAGTGAGCTTTATTGCACTGATTTCTGATTATATTCCTGTATGCTTGCCAGCTCTGCTTGATCTGACTCATTATAGATCTGCTACAAATTTTACTAGCCACCTGCTGTGCCTTTTTTCTTATAGGAGACATGATGAGAAATGATGTGCTGTAGTAGGGATTTTTAATCGTAGCTGCTATATTGAAGGGATTTGTCCTTTGCACCATTCTTTGAAAAGAAAAATGAGCTGTAAGGATTGCAATGAAAAGCTATCTGCAGTGTCAGAGTTGCCTGTGAAATAGTATTTCTTCATAGATATGTATACAAATGCATTAATGGCTATTTGAGAAAAGTAACTGGAAGAAATTATTATATTACAAGTTTTATTACTTAGTTTTATTTATCTGTACTTGTATTGATCGTTCTGTTGTTTGTAATATTTAGCAAACTAATGTCATAGTTTCCCAAACAATGTGAGCTGGCACTGCTACTGAAAGAACTGAAACAACCTTCTCTGAAAGCAAATGCAAAATGGTAAAAAGTTTCTTTGGACAAGTAATTAAAAGTTCCTCTGGGAACACGATTAATGTGTGTTATAGGATTGAAAGAGTTTTTCTGGACGTTATAGTGGGAATACCTGTTCTGCCTGAGTTTTGAGCATCTCACTCTTTTGCTGAAGTGGAGAGGCTTCCAAGAGCTCCTGTGTGCTCCTGGATGTTTTCAGGAATAAGTGTGTTTATCAAATTAGTATCATAAGTTTTTCTTCTCAGATATCTGGAGTTCCTCTTCTTTTAGAAAAGAGATTTTTTTCTCTGCTGTCCTTCTTTTCCTTCCCTGCCCAACTAAGAGAAGTCTTGTGAAAATCAGAATTACCTCATGTGAAAGTATTTTACATGCCTTTAAAATACTGTTATTCTTTGCAGCTACACGAAATGCATTAGGGAGGTAAAGCACTCCTGTGCAGTGAATAGAAACCAGGCAATTACTATATTATCTGTAGATTAAATAAAAACTTAAGTTTACTGATGAACAAATTACTTTTTGTTGACCTAATTCTGCAGTGTTGAAGCTATGCCTACACAACATTTTACTGAAACAGGGATTCCTGCAGGCTTCCTTGTGGCATGGAAGCCTACAACTAAGAAGGGAATTGAAAGGTTATATAGCATCTCTTTATGGCAATAAGAAGGTCAGGTCTAACTTTCAGTCATTGCAGGGGAAAACTGTATTTTGTTTTAAATTTAAAAGCCTTGTGCTGGATGGATTATTTTTTTTTGGTTGTTTAAATGGTATTAGACTTGTCAGTCTTCCTTAAAATAGAGTATCTGTTTGCAGTATACAGGCATGCAATATACATTTAGACCTACCACAATATTGATGGTATTACTTTGACAGAAAGTATTCTTATTGAAAATAATTAAGCTAATGTTGCATTAGGCTAATGTTGTGTGCATTCATGAGGCATACTATAAATTCCATTTCAGAAAAATGCAACTAATTTTGATTAAGTAACTTTTTATTCTCAGTGCTGTAGGGAATTGATTTTTATTTTTTATGTGTATGTTTATTTTAACTCTTCTTATGTATTCCTTGAAATACAATTTGACGGCTGCTTTTAATCAGTTACTTTTATTACTTTGTGCAGAAAAGTATATTTACCATACATCGGTCTATATAATGCTATATTGAAGTGCATTTGTAAGAAGAACCTAGCTTACAGTTCCAAGTTTTCTGTTTTCTTTCAACTGTAGTTTACATATACAATTTTATTCTTTCATAAGTTCTTAGAAACTACTGGAGAAATTTGGTGAGCAGCTAGGGGTTTTCACAAGCTAACTACAATGCCATACTGGGAGTTAGTAATCTTGAGAGTCAGTCAAGCACCTTATAGAGGGTAGGGTAGAAGTTACGCGTTCTCTGTTGGTAGGAAAATGGATAATGCATGTGTTTGGGATTACAAGTAATAATACTGCAGACCAGTATTTGTTGTGTATATTGAAGTATAAATTGTGACTGCTCTCCAGTGACTAGGCAGACAACACGTTCTGTACTAGTTAGTCACTCCAGACACACTTAACAGATTTTGCAGCGTTATCAGTGAAATGTTCTGTATCCTTATGAAATGTGAAATAAAAGTTTCTCCTGTGGGTTTCGTAAAAATGTGATAGTTTCCTGGAACTTTTGTTGTTGTTGGAAGGGGCTAAAAGTTACAGTTTTGCCTTCCAAATTGAATGCTCTTTCTCCAGACTATTTGATTGCACCCTGGCTGTAGCCCATAAGAATGTTCCTTTAAGTATCCGGTGGGCGATATGTTTTTCATAGCACTGCTGAAAACAGTGTTGCAATATTAGTGACTTGAAGCAGTGAAAGAGCAACATTTGTAAAGGAGAGGTGTTGTTTAGGTAGGTCATGTCTAGAGGACAGGTCACAGACAGATACAAACAAAGCAGATACATGGGAAAAATACGATAACAAATAAAATTATGTGTAAAGTAATAACCCATGATTGGGAAAATGTAAAACGCTTACAGCATTTAAGCTACCTTTAATATCAGAAGTGATTTGGGTGTTGTCATGGACAGTTTAATGAAACATCTGTATGCTTGTGGTCAAACGAGATAATTTAGTGTGTGACAGTTGGGACTGAAAATACAGAAAATACTATAATGGCATTATATTAATCCATAATACAGTTTAATTTAAAATACTATTTACAGTCCCGGTTACCCCCTTTTAGATGATGTTTCTGTTGCAAGATTGGTAAAAAATAGGCAGTGATGTAAAGATGACTGACACAAAGGAATTAGGACTCTTCACTGTTAAAAAAAGCAAACAAGTTAAAGCAGTAATTTGAGATAATAAGATATCTTGAGAATTACCATTCTCATCTTTTCAAGAACAAGTGACTATTGAATAAAATTAGAATTAGGAGACTTTCTCTTTTAACACAGTATGTGAATTAACTCTGGAACTGTGTTGTGACTTCAGTAAAGAAAATAATTGAACAGTAACGCTTGAAAAAGACATTTATATAATATGCAATCACAGTATCAATGCTAGCAGCAAAACTAAAATAAATTTGGAGGTGATAGTAAACTTTTCTCTTTAGACCTTAATGCCTAAAGCTGCATAATAGTTAATGGATTTCTTGTACCTACTCTGAAGCATCAGTTCCTGGACTTCCTAAGAAACATGAGAAAATAATGATTCAGTCTGACAGTTCCTGTACTAAAGCAGTGGATATTGCTGTACAGTTTTTTTAATCTTTGTATTCGGGGTTTGGGAAAAAATATCTAATACAGATGTTTAGGAAGAAGTAGATGAAAGTGATACAAATCAGTAGATGTCTTTCATATCTCACCTCTGTCAGTCTCATCTTTTATTTTTGTATATTCCTATTTCATGGTTCTGTGTGCCTTCGTCTCCTGTAATCGATTAGTAAGTGCAGATGGCACTCCTCCCCTTCTCGCTGGTGACTGAGAGACTGGAATTAATGCATTTATTGGGAAAAATAAACCAGCACTATTGATGTAAGAATTGTCAGCAGCAGTCTTCAATCATAGGACTAGAAACTGTCTCCCTTTATTCCTCCCTCTCAAGGACACGTACACAGCCATTGTTCGGGCACAGATATCCACTAGTGGAACAGTTAATTGTTCTATCTTCAAATACAGTTTACAGCCTACATTGAGGACTACTGCTATTGTAACATATAAAGCTTCTTTTAGCTTGTGACCTGATTAGAGTGATAAAGGTGTTGGTTTTTAACAGTGGAGTCACTACTACCTGCTGTCGCAGTAGTGTGAGCTATAGATGGGCAACCTCTGAAAAACAGATGGAATCACCTTACTTAAAAAATGTGGTGATACTGAAAACCATCTTTGCAGAATAAGGTAGATGCACCACCTGTGTTTGTGTGGGCTAAGTTCAAGGGGAGGAAGAAAACTTGCTGATTTAAATAAAAGCCTGTTTGGAATCGTTTTGGATGAGCGCCCACTCTGTAGAGCTTTATACCTCAACTGTAAGCAAATCCAAGTTGAAATAGATGCTGATACGAGATTATTGGCTAGCATGCTGATATCCTTCAGTCTCCTGCACTATGCAGGAAGGCTGCCTTCTAGTTAATAATTAGAATACTGACCCTAACGCTGATGGTATGGTAAATAACAATGCTGACCATTCGTGTGATTTCACTGTCAGATTTATAAAAATATATGCATATGAAAAAATTCTACCTCAAAAAGGCATGTTAAATGCATATGGAATTTCTGTTATGGAAGATTATGTGTAAATGTTTTCACTGTCTTCTAAATCATGTAGAATGGTGTCTGTCTTTCCTTAGCTTTTGTTTTTGTAACAGTTCAGGAGAGTAATTTTAATTACTGTAAAAGTGCTTAATAAAGATGTTGATTTTTTTGATTCTTAAATGTAGCAAATTAGTTCATTCTCCTCTCACAAAGTAGTTGAGTAATCCTGATGATTTATGGTTAAGTATGTGAAGTGAGTAACTGAATCAAGACCTCAATTACTCTTCAGACTTATTTTCCACAGCCTAGAAGGTTTGAAATACTGGTCCATTGAAGTCAACCATAGAAATCCAATTATTAAAGTGAAATCCAAGCATTGCTGTTTTTAAATGCAAAGTTCTCAGAATTAAGGATGATAAAATTGTGTCCTGTTCATGCTAAACTGATGGAGCATTTTCAATTTTTTACACTTATTTGTAGAGAAAAAATGGGCTCAAATCTTATGATTGAAACTGCAAGAAATTCCAAATGTCCAAAGGTAAGTAGTTTTCTAAGGTAAATACACAATTAGTATTCCACAAGTATTTCTGAGTAGCAGTACTATCCCTAGAAGAATATTGGATAAACAGCATGAGTGTTGATAAACTCTTCAAGCTTCCATATACGATAACCCATGCTTTTAAAGGATAAAAATTCATTAGATGCTTAAACTTCTGTAGCAATTTCTAATATTTTTATTCAGTACCTTAAAGTACATTTCAGAGATGTTAAAAGGCGTATAAGCAGAGAAGTACTAGGTCAACTTCTTGAAATTGTGCAGTTTGTTTCTTCATATAAGAGAATTCTAGTATCTGGAGATCCTGTCATGTCAGCTGTGATCTGTGTTACTGTGTAGTGAGAGAACAGGGTTTCTCCTCACTCTTATCTGGATTGCCAGGTTTTCTCCAGTAACATTTGTAGGCCCTGAGTTCTCTACTCTTCCTGTATGACACAAAGGGCATCAATTAATTGGAGGGGTGTTATATACAGCAGCAGCAGAGAGTGAAAGATGAGAAAGCATGGGTATTTTATTTTTGGGGAAGGTTAGGGTGTGAAGAAAGAGGAGAAACATAATAGCACATATTTTGGAACAATCTGTAATTAACAGGTGTTTTGGTGTCATAGCGCTATATTCAATGCTTTACTGTTAAATGGAAGATATTCTCATTTTTCTAAACATAGAAACATGTGCTTGACTGACTGCGTTCCTAGTCCATGTCTAAAACAAGGACATGAAAAGGCTGGAGTGCTATGTTGCTTTCTGAGACAGAAGCTATCCTACGTTGACTTGAAAGTTATCTTTGAACCAGGATCTTTGGCTTTCTTCCATCTTCTTCAGTGATAAAATGTGAATATAAATAGAGTTGAAACTAGCTATTCCCAGGAACCTCTTTGTAGTGCTGGCAGTGGTGTCACTCGTTACAAGGCACAGCAAAATCAAACTAAAGCATACAGTTGTGTGCTCTGCTGCTGTTAAATTCATGGCAAGATAGATTTTTACAGAAGGTACTCAGCACTTTACAGCTTAGACTGCATCATGAAGTGGAAGCATGTATGGATATTACAAAAAAAAAAAAAATCGAGCATTTGTTTGATAAGTTTTATATTGAATTTTTCCAAAGTTTTTTTTCTTTCTACTTCTAGCAGTGTTTAGAACCAAACCTTACTTTTTCCAAAACCAGGAAAGTTTTCTTCCATCGAATGATGGAGTATAAATCGTGCACACATTTTGCTTCTGCACTGTCATATAGAAGTTATGCTTCTATTGTTTGCTTTTCTGTAAGGATGGACTTACTGTGAGTTAAATTATTTAACTTACGTAGCTGAAGAATGGAAATGAATGCAGTGATATCACAGCATCACCTGCTAGTGCTGTTAAGTAATGTTTCACAAAAGTACCATACTCTCTAAAATAGTAAACAAAATAAAATTGAACACCCACTTGGCTGCTGAAGAGTATTGTTCTGACAGTGCCAGCCAGGCTGGGTGCATAATCACTAAAAGGTCTTGCACATTTTAACACTCACCCATAACTATAGGTGCTTTCACTTCATGTGATTATATTTGTAAGATGTAATTTTTTTGCAGTCATATGTTTCCTTTTATGAAAACAGCATTTTGGCTTTTCACTTAGATTTATATATGTGGCTTCTGTTAATGACGTTTGAGCATCCTTACAAAAAAGCTTGAAAGACTTATGTTTGATTCTTTTCATTTTTCTTTGGGAGAGATTGTTCCTGCAATCCTTTAACTCTGGTTGCAATATTAAGCAATCATGTTCTTGGAGAAAGAAATTGATTGATGTTTCTGACATTCATATTTAATACCGTTGTGGCATTGCTGGTTACAGAGGTTTGAGAACAAATTACTATTCATAAAGGCAAAATACTTTTAAATCCTACAGATGACACCAGCTTTTTTATTAAATATCAATGGATGGATATCAGTAGATACAATAGCCAGTGGAAACAATTAATTTCAGGATAAAACCAGCATTTTCTTTAGGGAGTTTATGATTTTATTTGGGTTATTTTTTTTTATTTTCACTTTTTTAAATGTAGGCATTATAAAAAAATAAATAAATAATGAACTGAGTAGGATTCCAGAGATGCATTTAATGTATAAATTGAATTTGATATTGTGGGAAGCTGTCATTCTCGTACTGTTATTATCATCATCATATATAACTGGGTTTTTTCTTCCTATCTCACTAGGTAGCTGCAGTAAGCACCATTGTAAACAGAGGAACACCACTGAAAGCATTTGTTTTTAGAAACTATAATCACTTTCCTGGTGTTAAGTCTCATTATATCGGAGGCTGTCAGTATAAACTGTGGCAGGCCATTAGAGCATCATCTGCTGCACCAGGTTACTTCCAGGAATATGTTTTGGGTAACGATCTTCATCAGGTAAGTTGAAATCTTCTCCTTTAGTAAGTACTTTCCAATATTATATCTGAGAAAAAAGTTGTCTGAATTTCTGAATCAGAACTAAGCCAAATAAGTTGGTAGCAGAAAGGAAATCTAGGACAGATAGGGGTAAGAAAGGAAATTTTGTACTTGTCTAGCCTTTACAAAACTAGAAAGGGCATAGGCTTTAAAAATCTTAGTCCTAAAAAACTTAATCTCTTCTGCTGTTCCTTTCTTCTCTACCTGGAAGGAAACCTTATATGAGTTGTAAATTGCCTCTGACTTCCTGCTTACAACAGGTATTTCATTGAGCATTATTTCACTAAACAGATGGCATGACTTTAACAATACTGTAAAGTGTGAAAAAATTATTTCAGTGTTCCTTTTATTACTGTGTAATTTCAGTTTACAGTCTACTTTTAATTATTTTCACTGATAGCTTATTAAGTTCTACCCTGTTTCTGAGCTAGTAAAAAAAAAATAAGAGATGCCACGGCAGTAAGATTAAACTCCGAGAACAACTGCAAAAGAAATTCCCTTGAGGATAAAGCAATGTCTCCTATCAACAGTATATGCTATTTTATTGTATTATAGCTTCTAGTGCTGACCCTGATTAGTAAAGAGCAAGGCAAATTAATTTCTTTAGTAGTTTTTTTAACTATTGTGTTCTTGTCCTCCAGTGCCCCTTTATTGTTCTGCAGTTCTTTGAGTTTTAAAAGAATCCTTTTACAGTACATATTAATTTAAAACTGATAGTATTTATTTTTAAAAAGATCTGATGCAGATCTGTGACAAAGACTACGAAGGGTGACTGAACCAGAGACCTTCAACAAAGACACTTAAAATAAAGCATCTATTACACTTGTCATATTAATTCATATGTTGGCATTAGCCTTAACTAGTAGGAAGCAGTAATAGCATATCTTCAGTAATAAGATGTACCTGGATCACATGCAGAATTTATCTTGGTGTCCATTAAAAGGCTGTGTAATGTCATTAGCATTATAATGTGCATAAGTAATACTGAAGTTTAAAGACTAACAGATAAGTGAGTATAGGATTAAATAGTGAAAAATTCATTAGATTAAGAGATAATAAACAGAGGCACTGATACAGATAAACAGCTAGAATTTCATCTGAAAAAACCCCAGCATACTTCCATATTTTAAATTAACATTTACAGGGAGATGGAATAATTATATTCAGCTACATAAAAGCTCTACATAAGTTGAAGGGTGAAGGGGAAAGGTCTCCGTGGAGGGCAGGATGGTGCAACTACATCAACCGGATTGTGAGAGTTCTTCCATTTTTTTCTGTTTTCCCTTTTTGTGTAGGATCTTTCCCCTCCCCACCCCCCCATCACCCCAGTATGGTACATCGTATTATCCCCAAAACACTTCAATCAAATATTACCTGAAATAAGCAAATACGATTTTGGGTTTTTTCTAAAGCTAAAAATGGAGTGACACATCTGATCCTCAAAGCCTAAGCACTGCTTGAAATCCTGAAACGTGTTCATCTACCATCTGGCCAAGCAAAACTGGAAAGGGAGCTGCTTTAGCCTTTGGAGCTGTTCCAAGCTGCTCCTTAACTGCTTGAATGGGTCAGTGTTAAACTATGTGAAGCACTTTTCTTCCTCTTCTTACCTTTCCACTCCTTCTTCCCTTGAATTGAGAATACATCAAAGTCTGTCTGTGCTTCTGTATGAAGAATAGCTAAATAAACAACATGATTTTTAACTTCTCTGCAGTGCTTAGACAATTATTTGTCTTAAGATCATTTCTGAATTGCCAGACTTGTATGAAATGCAATAAGGTGGGTTATTCATTTAATCTATATTAATTTTTAAGTCCAATTTACCAGACTAGAGAATGTACGATTAGGGTTAATAGAGATCAGATCCAGTATTCTCAGACACACAGAGCTAGAATGAAATCTAGTTCATTTTTTTCCTACTCCAGAGCCTTTGGTCAAAGCCGTTCCATATGATTTTACCAACACCATTTCACAAACTTCCCATTCTTTTCTAGTTGATGTATTTTAATTACTAGAAAGCAAGACCGTAGGGTGTGGCTCACCTTTGCAAGCCATAAGGAACTAAATATGTTTCTGGTACTAAAATGGTTTATTGAAGTAGAACTAGATGCTAAATTTTCTGACTTAAACTTTCATATAACTGGAAAAATCTCTATTCTACGCAGGCATGATATTTAAACACATTTGAATCCTTTTAGAATCCAAAGGTTCTCATTTTCCATGTCTTTCATGCTTTACTTTCCCCAGATTATACTTTCCTTACATCTCTATTTCCATAATTATCTATTCTGTGTGGGATGTGCTTAGGGTTTTTTTATGGACAGACAGCTAGCAAGGTGCTACATGACAAATGCTACACAATCTTCATGCAGATTTCTATCTTGGATTATAAATCCACAACACGCACTCAAACTGCCTTGAATTACCCTGTTTTAACCCTGGGGTGAGAACCTCCGTGCATGTAGCAGACGGTTACCCGTATGTTCTTGGGTGTAACAGCACCTCAGTGGAAAATGCAAGGTAATCAAGAGTTTTATCTCTATTAAAGTATCCAAGATGAATTGAAAAGAATACATATGCATAATATGTTTTAAAATACATAGAACCCTAAATGCATAAAATCCTAAATCATATTCCTGTTTAAAAATAATCACAAAGCTATTTTAAAGTGTGTTAATAACTCTTAGTCTTTAGTGATAGTTCATATAATAAATATTAGATAGTAGATTTTTGTTAATGATTTTTATTCTAAAAGTGCACTGTAATTGCCACCTTAAGTTCCTTGGCCACGTCATGTATGATACTAGAATTTGTAGTTTATATGGCAATACTTGCTTTTTTCTGTCTTATCATTTTAAGCCTGTACACTATCTAACAGGTTGGGCTGCTTTTGAACTACAGAAGTAAATGAAGCATAACATATTTAGACATTCTCAATAGTGCCATGATTTTTGAAAAGCGCATGAGCGCAGTACATGTTAATTGTAAATCATAACTTATGCCAAAGGCTTCAAGATTGTAGTACGGTGTCAGAAAGGTTATAGTCTTTTGAGGATTTTTTTTAATGGATTTGAAACTTCTATTAATTAGTCAGCATAATCTCTTTTCTGAACTTAAACTATGCTAGTTTCCTATTAATTTATATGTAATCTGCTTCATCAATGTTGAGATTTCTAAATAATTCAAATAATAGAGATAGCCAAAATGTGAAAATGATTGTAAAATGTCTCTGAAAATTCAGAATAGTAAATATAATGAGATTTGTTTCCTGGCTTTGAAGTTAGGGACTCTAAAGGACTATATATAGACACCAGGTTTTATATTATCTTATCAGTCAGTTGTACATTTAAATCTGAATGAAAAGTACTCTGGCAGTTGGTCTGATTTAGGACTTTCTGAATGTGTGAAAATATTTATTTTTGACAACGGAAATTTAGTGGATTTGTTTTATTGTCAGCCTGCATATTCCTGCCTTATGTTATCTAGCTTTTGTTGAAATTGGAGTCCTTTCGCAAACTGTATGAAGTAGTTGAATGAGAGTTATGTGTAGGGTTGAGATTAATTCATAAAGATTTTATGTATGACTCTAGATATATATGCTGGAATCATGCCTGAACTGGACTGTCGGTGTTCTCTTTAACACTCGCTTTTCCATAATCTATATATTTATATACACATGTGTATTTGTATACACACATTCATGCCCTTTCTCTGGGAACATTCCAGTCTGACTTCCTGTACTAGTCACTGTTGAAGGGATTATAAAGTGTGTTAATTTTTTTAATAGGGTAATGAATTATTTTTACAGTTCTTCTGATGTAATAGTTTAGAAAGACATTTCTGGGTGCCTGGACAGTTATTTCTGTTTGTGCTGCAGATAAACTGATACCAGGTCTGTTAAATTTCTGCAAAAAGTAACCAGTCCAAACCAAATAGCAATATTTACAATAAGGTCAATCATGCCATGCTATCTTGTTCCACTCTGTCAAGTAGGAAAAAATAGTGCAGCTGTTGGTAGATGAGGGGAGGAGGATTAATACTCTTTGTGGTTCAAAAGAGGAACACATTAACATTCAAAGGGATTTAATCCCTGTAACATGCTTCTCCAGGAACTGTGCAAGTCAAGAGAGACCAAGTCATGATGTTACAATATAGAAGCTGTATTGCCACATGTCATCTTTTTTTTATTTTAAAATCTATTTATGAAGCACTGAGGGCTCTTAACCTCTATCCAGCCTGGTTACAGCCAGTGATGTTGTTTTTTTCCTACTTCCCACGGAGGGGTGTTGTTTCTTATATCTATTCCTCTTTTTTTTTTTTTTTTCCTGTACTGTGACAGGCATTTGGGATGCTCAATAATGTCACTTCAGTAGGCAGTACAGTATGCTGAGGAAATTACCAATTAATTAAAAGAGCAATTTAAGATTTAACAAAATCATTATACACACTTCATTTACTAGGTTTTGCAGTAAAAACTAAATTGGTCCCACAGGATTAATTAAAAGGGCAGCAGGGATTGTCTGTGAGTGTGTGGTGTGTGTGTGGTAATGGTAGGTTTAACAAAGCTACAGATTTTTTTCTCAAAATAAAATATACTCAATTTAATACAAAGGACTTGATCACCTTTTTCTTGATAGCTTCCCATGATTTCATTGCTGAATTACAATTCCATTTATTAAAATGCTGGTGTTGACTTATATTGTTATAGTGTTCCCATAATCATATTTTCTTTGAGCAAGATGAGATAGTAAAACAGTTACATTGGCAGCTAGTCTATTAATGGGGTTTTAATAATGCAGGTGTAGCAGGATGTGTGGTGAGAATACAACCTAGAAATTAAAAAAAAAAAAAAAAAAAAAAAAAGAGTATAATAATATGATGTAACTAAAATTTCAAGACTCACCTTTGTTAAAAAAAGTTAATACACAGTTTCTTCATATTTTTCCAACTCTTCCGGTCCTCTT